GGACAGGAGCTCCAGCCTCTGCTCCCACGGGACAGGAGCTCCAGCCTCGCTCCCGGCACATTCCCTGGGCACCTCGGGACCGTCCTCGTTGGTCAGAACCTTCCACGTTATCGTTTACAAGGAGGGAAGGGAAGGATTACAGGTGGAGTTTCATCAGGACTGGCTTGCAATGAACCTTCCTCCTGCCAGGCAAGGTAGCTCAGTGTCCTCCCTCCCGCCGAGCAGCCCCGTCCTGCGCGGGGCCCGGCTCATCTCCCGGGAGGTCACGCGGGACGCCAGCCAAAAAGTGGGACAGATGTGTCAGAATCCGTATTTGGCCTGAGTCTGCCGTCTGCTGAGCTTGTTTTCAGACCATGTGTTTTTCAGTTCCAGCTCTCTCTCCTTGGCCTGCAGACACGGAGAGGATGCTGTTACGCTCTGCGTTTCAGTGACTCAGCAGCATTCCGGCCTCCTCCGGCCCCGCTCACATGGATTACAGAGCCCTTCAGCCAGAAGCCTCGTTACAGGAGTTCACACAATCATCCTGACAGAGGCCTGGATTAATTGGGCTGCACGGGCATTTCATTCATGCTGAAATGCAGCTTCTCTTGTGGGATGGGCTCAGCAGCTGCTCGACAACCCCGGGGTGGAATATGGACGGGATCCCAGAGCCTCGGGACACGCGTGGGGAGGGTGAAGCAAAGCTGAAAACTCAGGGCTGGGACCCCCTCAGGGCCAGGACCCACCTTTGGCCCCACTGGAGCCATGGCACATCTCACCCAGGGCTGAGACAGCCCCTGGTCTGGTCCCACTGTGGGTCACCCAGGGCACAGAGTATTCCCAGGGACATCCCCTGGTCCCCAGCTGCTGGAACAGCAGCTCCACCACTCTGGCCTTGTGCTGCCAAGCCTTGACATTCCACCTGGATTGGCTCCCACACCAGGGGAAGCCACTCACCTGATGGATCAGGTATGTGATCTGGTGTTTTCTCCTTTGCTGTCCCGTGGGCTGATCTCCTTTTTTCTGGAAAGCAAAAGAGGTGAAGTGTTCAGCCTGGAGAGACACTGCTGGACAGCAGACCAAGGCCAGGGCCTGCACGCAGCCATCCCAGGCACCATTTGTTCCCTATTAAATGGCAGATTTCTTCATCTGAAGCAGTTCCTGGCTGGTCCTCACCACCCACACACCATGCTCTGAGCTCTCCTGATCTCTCATACGTCATTACCAGGGTCCCTTGTCCCCACCCTGGTGACTGCCCAGCATCCAACACAGCTCCAGCTGGGGCTGATTTGGGATCTGAGGTCCCAACCCCAGCCAACCCCTGCCCTCCACCCCACCTTGCTGAAGGACTTCATGGTCTTCTCCTCCGTCAGGGACTTGGTCAGCCACTGCTGGGCCCCGCTCAGCTGGTCATCACCTTTGATATCCACAAAGTTGATCTCCTCCCTCCCCCGATTCCGCTTGCCTTGCAGACGCTTGAACTGAAGGAAGAACAGAACAGCTGGAATTACACCCACCCATCACACCCTGACACGAGGCCGAGGGGCTGAGCCCCTGCTCCCTCCAGTGAGGGACAAGGCACAGCAACAGTTTTCCAGACAGGATTTTTATCTTTAGGAGATTTCTGCTTTGCTGTAGATCAGAGTATCTAAAGCTACTTAGCATGAAGGTTATCATCTCATTTTCCTATGCTGAAAACAGCCATTTATTCCTGTTTCCAGCCTTGCTCAGGAGACCCCTGGAGTCCTGAGTGTCTTGTTTTAAGAGCCAGGGAGGCACCTGGCCTGTACCAGCCATTCTGTGGCCATATGGCCATGGGCAGTGACTGTCCCCAAGCTGGGCACTGATGAGGCCCCACCTTGAGTCCTTGGGTCAGTTTTGGGCCCCTCATGACAAGAAAAATGTTGAAGGCCTGGACTGTGTCCAGAGAAGGAAATGGAGGTGGGGAAGGGTCTGGAGCACAGGAAGGGTCTGTGGAACTTCTGAGGAGTGACTGAGGGAGTTGAGAGGGCTCATCTTGGAGAAAAGGAGATTCAGGAGGGACCTTCTGGCTCTCTACAACTCCCTGACAGAAGGGTGGCGCCACATGGGGGTCGGGCTCTGCTCCCAGGGAACAAGGGACAGGATGAGAGAAAACGGCCTCAAGCTGTGCCAGGGGAGGTTCAGGTTGGGTACAGGGAAAATTCCTACACCCAAAGGGTTGTCCAGCCCTGGCACAGGAATGTCACCGTCCCTGGAGGAATCTAACAGCTGTGTGGATGTGGCACATCAGGACAGGGTTTACTGGTGGCCTTGGCAGTGCCGGGGGAACAGCTGGACTCCATGATCTTGGAAGGCTTTTCCAACCCCAACAATTCTGTTCTCATCAAGCCTGCAGACCTGGCTGGAGCAGGAGCTCAGCAGACTGTGGGAAGGACTCACATGTCCACACCACAGCTCGAAACCCCACGGAACAACCACCCGGCCCATCCCAGGGAAGCACAGGACGTGCTGCGGGGGCAGGACCGTGGCTGCCAAGTGGGTCCTGTGTTCTGGGAGAGCTCAAAGCCAAATTCCACAGCAGGACAGACAAAGTGCCAACCGCTTCGTCGTCGATGAAGGAGGAGTCGGTGCTCGTCTCCTGCGGCGGTGCCTGGGCTGGTTCCACCTCCGGGTAGTACCCGCTGCTGTAGTAATCCTGGCAGGGAAAGGGAGGCCAGTTTGTCACGAGAGTGAAGCAGGAGGGATCCTGCCCGTGGGCTGCTGCTTTTTCACCCCGAGGGATTTCATCAGAGGTACAAACCAACAAATGCTTTGAGGGGCTTTTCACAACAGCCTGGAGTGACGGGACATTGGGGAATGGTTTCCTACTGCCAGAGGGCAGGGTTAGGTGGGAGATGGGAAGAAATTCTCCCCTGTGAGGGTGGTGACACCCTGGCACAGGTTGCCCAGAGAAGCTGTGGCTACCCCATCCCTGGAAGTGTCCAAGGCCAGGCTGGACAGGGTTTGGAGCAACCTGGGATAGAGGAAGGTGTCCC